TTGCCCCCTCGCGCCCCCTTCATCCCCCCTTGTGTTTCATCCATTGCCCCCTCGCGCCCCCTTCATCCCCCTTGTGTTTCATCCATTGCCTACCCTCACCGGACATGAGACTGCGTCTCCATTTGAGGATCCCTGGCCACTTCGACCTCCGGGTCTTTGTCAGTGAGTTGCTCTCATCTTCAAGCAAACCACCGGTGACATGGTCTACACGTCTCACTTTGAGAGATTTCTCACTTTTCAACCCCTAGTTTCTCACCATCTCCACTGGCCCAGAAAGCTTTCCGAAAGCTCCCGCTTCGCTCCCATCCAAACCCCCGTCCGCATCGTTCACCATCAGCAGCGACGCCACCACGTTTTGCCCCTTCGCACGCAGGGGCCTCAAGAGCGTGGCGTCGGCGAGCTGCGGGTGTGGCAGCGGATCCGATGTAGATGTGGGTGTGCATCAAGATAGGGAGACCTCCCAGTTCGACCCCCTCTTGGGAAGAAGGACATAGACCAGTTCTATCCATGAAACATGAGAACTGCATCAGTGAAGACGGTTTGGCCCGACTCCTCGGGGTTCGCCAGACTCAAAGCCCTGTAGTATGTCACAAGAAAAAGAAACGGAAAAGCGTGGACGGAGAAGAACAAAGGAGCAGAGACAACTTGGATTGTTTCTCGGTCATGGGCGTCGTTTCGTTGTGTGGTAACATGGCGACAGACCCTTAACACAGATGTTCTTCGTCTTTTTCTTGACGCCGTCGACTCTGTGAGTCCGTTCGTCAACCTGTTGGGCAGCCCGAAGTCGAAGGGAACGATTGGCGCCCGAGTCGAGGTGCCTCACGAAGTTGTAGGCTTTCAAGAGGATGTTGAAGCCCTGACGGACCAGAGATGCTTTCGGGCCAGAACAACAGGAGGGAAGAGGGTTCATTCTTGAAGCTTTCTCATGCCAGGAAAATAGATGACACGATGACATGTTAGCTGTGAGCTTCGCCCTTTGAAGCTTTTCAGGTGGCAGTAGAAGCTTACTAGTTACTACTAGTAAGGTACCTGTTACTAGTAGCGATGCACTTGTTTCTAATAGCTTCTTGTTACTACTAGCGTGGCACCTGTTACTACTAGCTTATTTGTCAGAATAAGTGATGATGCTTCTCTTCCTCCCAATTCCGCCATCGTCAGACAGTGCACCACCTTTTGGCTGAACTTTGGCCCGCTGTGGTCGGTGGTCAGACTGAGGAACTGAGGATTTGGGTTGTTGGAAGCGAGGTGGCACATGGCCCAAGCTGCAAACCGACTTGGATCCATTCTCTTTCGATCCTTTTCCTCATCCGGACGTTAAACCGGGTATCTCAAATGTGTCAAGCCGACCAAATTCCCCAGCTGCAAACTCCAAAAACTGCCTCGCCTTGTCGGAGGAGGTGACAGCACCTGGGATACTGGGCACGACATCACACACCTGGAAAGGGGAGGGCGATTCAGAAATCATGTTTACCGTAATAGACACCCTTGGTGATGACTGCTATAATATGTTTCCCGAATGCGTAGCGAAGGGTTCTCGTTTAACTCTTGGGGGTCTGGGGGTAGAGCTTTGTTCGCGACCCGTTGCTTCTATGTTCGCAACCGTCCGCAACCGTCCGCAACCGTTCGCAACCGTCCGCAGTAGAGCGCTAAGGCGCTGCCATTGGGGGAAGCTTTTGCAAGTGACTTTTCATGGATGTGTCACGTGTCAGTTTGCGCCGCTATTCCATTGTGATTTGCATGAAAATGAGATGTCGCGCAAGAAACGTGATGCGTTTCGCTGCACAGGCGCAGCGTTTGGTGAGATCTGCAGATTGCTGCGCAGTTCCATTGGGATTAGCGTTTGGAGAGTCGTGTTTTTGGGGTGTTGGATGTGGCCGTGCCATTGGGATTTGCGCTTCAGGGTGTGGCATCGAAGCTCTGTTTTCGTGACAAGTCTCAGCTGAAATGCCGATTTTGGACTCTGGGAGTGTGCTCAGAACGGGTCGAAATCATTCCAAACGTGTGGTGTGGTGCAAATTTTGTTGAAGCTCACGTGAGATGATATTGTCACTTTTCGTGGCAGGCGCAGTACTTTGTGCGGCTTTTGAGGTGTGGAAGTGCGATTCTCGTGGCAGGCGCAGGGAATCGTGAGGTTGCGAGGTGTGACGGAGGTGACATTTCGTGGCAGGCGCAGTACTTTGTGTGCCTTAGACGTGTGGACGCGGAAAGATTCGTGGCAGGCGCAGGGAATCGGGAGGTTGTGAGTTGTGGTAGAGGTGAATGTCGCTGTCACATTGGTGTGAGCGGGTGTCGTTTGGAGGGGCTGGAATCGCGAAACTGCTTGGCAGGGCTGCGTGATGTGCGTGCTCCGATGGGTGTTTCCGGTTGACTTTTGGAGGAAGTCTCGTGCGAAGCGTTCGTTTTGCAGACTTTGACATGTGAGTTTTTGAGGAAGTCTCGTACGAAACGCTCGTTTTGGGGACTTGACATGTGACTTTTGGAGGAAGTCTCGTACGAAACGCTCGTTTTGGAGACTTGACGTGTGACTTTTGGAGGAAGTCTCGTACGACACGCTCGTTTTGTTTTGGAGGAAGTCTCGTACGAAACGCTCGTCTTGCAGCCTCGCAGCGAGACTTTTGGAGGAAGTCTCGTACGAAGAGCGTGCCCTACAGGAGTGTCCCACAAGAGTGTCCCGCAACCATGTCCCACAAGAGTGTCCTACAAGAGTATCCCACAAGAGTTTCCTACAAGAGTGTCCCACAAGAGTGTCCCACAAGAGTGCAAGACTGTCCCACAAGAGTGTCCTACAAGAGTGTCCCACAAGAGTGTCCTACAAGAGTGTCCCTGTCTCACAAGAGTGTCCCACAAGAGTGCCCTACAAGAGTGTCATTTGGACATATGTAGCTTTTTGAACGTGTTTGCATTCGGGTTCGTGGGCTCCATCTTGTTTTTTTCTGGATTGATAGACACTATATGACAATATTGTGATTCTATGTTATTCCTGGGGGCTTAGCAGAGACGCGCTGGTGAAAACAGAGATCGAATTGAACGAGAAGGAAGTTGAAGTGGATTTGGATGCGGATCAAGACTTGGGAGATCTTCTGGTGAACATAGGAAACAATGGGTTCTAATGTCTTAACTTGGGGGCGATCCTTCGTTTGGGGGCGATCCTTCGTTTCAACAGGAACCGCATGGTTGGAGGCTGGATCTTATCGTTCCACTGATGTGTTTGGAGTTGCCGAAAACAACGAACACATGTGGAGGTGTTTCAAATTAAGTCCGTCAAACCTCGAAGTTTTGGAGCAAAAGAGAAACACCTGTATTGCTTCTCTGAAGACTTAGGCAGAATTCCAAATGCATTCCTTTCTGCCCCTGAAAATCAACTCCATCAGCCCATCACCCCAACCCGGCGCCGCAGTCATGCGGTTTAAGAGAGCCGGGCGGCGGAGTTCCGGAAGGCTAGGCTGTAACGGTGGCATGTTGGGATCTCCACCTGACTGGACATGCGGGAAAGCCTCCCTCAGGTGGGAATGGGGTTGGCGTGTCATCGTGGCGCATCCAATTGAGCATCCGCAGGCTGTGTGGGGTAGGAATTCCTTAAAAGCCTCTTCCAGAATCATACCGTTTTTGGGAGATGGAAGGATACGTGCAGAAGGAACTATCGTGAAGCAAGTCATATTTTCCGTGTAGCGGGTGCAATGCGAAGATTTGCTTCTGCCCATGGGTGGTGCACCTGCTCAATGCTCTTGAACCCCCAACACAAAACAGAGGCGGTCCGACCACAGCGGACGCATCGATAGGAGTCCCCCTAGGACCACCGAATCCTGGACCACGCCTGCGCAGGTAATGACATGCACTTGAACAAGTGGTTAGCAAGTAGATCTGACGACCTCCTGAAGATACACACACCCCACTGGGTTCAACGACACCTACGTTTGGGTTTGTCTTCAGGCCGCGCTTGTCTTCGCTGCATGACTGCGCCAAGCCGCGATCATGCTGCTGCCGGACGATCTCCTCGGGACGGAATGGCATCAGTTCGCCCAGAGTTGTCATGAAAATGAAGGTAGTTGTCATGAAAGCCTTCGGCCATGTTGAACTGTTGAAAAACAGCAAACGGGCCTGAATTCTGCAAAGCACCCACAGAGGTGTGACTGGGGAAAGCTGTCAAAAAGGTATCTATAAAGGTATCTATAATTATGATACCCAATCAATCTGCTGTGCCGGCCAGGTTGCCTCAAAGGAACTCTGGTTCAGGCCGAACTTCTGCAGAGTTGCTTGATCCTTGTGTGCAAACGGAGAAACAAAAAGGTCGTCGCAGCTGGCCTAGTTGATGCGACCAGGGCAGGGATGATGGTGCTGTTTCATCGTTTCATCCAGGTCGGATTGGATTCTTTTTGGTGGCCTCTGTGTCCTTTGGTTCATTGTTGGTCATCTCACACGCTCTCTCCATCTCTCTCTCTCTCTCTATGATTATGAATTCCATTATCTCACCGCATAGGTCCCGTCTGACGCGGGTCGGTCCACCCTGTTCACTGAAGGAGATCTTCGAAGTCACCACCGTCCGAGTTCAACCGCCGAGTCAATGGCTCCCCACCGCTCCCCTTCATCGTCGTTTCGTGGGCGCTGAGGAGCTACCATGAAGCCACCCGAGGCGGAAGAAGTCTCATCGGACCTGACATCGATGAAGGCTTGGTGACCTGTCATAGGTGTTCAAAGGCAATGAACTAACTAGTTCAGGACACCTGTCGGATAAGGCGGGGAGTTTCTATCCTAAGTTGCTCGGGTTTTTGTTCTGCAAAATCCAAGGAATTCACCCAGCTCTGTAGCTCTTCTTCTCCACATGTTTCTGCCTGGCATGACTCCCGGCGCTTTGGTTTAATTGTCTGAACTATGATGAACTATGAAAGTGATGCACTCCCCCAAGTTGATGGAAAAAAGTGATAACCTGCTCAGAATGCTACCAGCGGAAGACCATGTCATATTGGACTCAGAAGTGCTTCCGATGGGTACTGAGAGTGAACCTGAAACTCTTTCCCTTGACATTTGAGGGCCACTTGTTTGTCGACTGTCGCTTCCAAAAGTTGCCTATTCCATCCTAGTCCCAAAGGTCAAACCACCTCCAGCCTGGCCACTCTCAGAAAATCAAGAAGTTGAACATCGCTGGACAAAGTAGTAGGACCGCACTGCACCGCAGAAGTCGAGCAGAGGTCGTGCAGCCTCGCACGCGCCCACCTCGGCTGGGCCTCACTCTGCGAAAAGGACACCTGCGGGCGAAAGCTTCGACGGCGGAATCATGCCATGGACTGAGGTGTAGAGCTGAAATCCCTTCAAAATGTCCACATATTTGTGGGTATTCCATAACCGGTGTCGTGTTTGAGGGCCCATGATGGACTTGAGGTCATGGGGGTGCAACGAAAGCATTGGTCGCCCTGGTGCACACTACAGCGGTTCCTCAACTCAGTGGTGCCACCTGTTGGGAAAGTCATCCCCTCATTCCCTCTCTAAGCAAACGTCTCGGTTCCCAACATCTCTAAGCAAACATCATCCCAATCCCCTCTGGTTCCAATACATCTCGGCTAAAGTAAAGTGACGGAACACGGAATTCGAAACTCCGTTGTCAGATTACGAGCAAGAAGCAATGTTGCATACCAATCGAACATATCTTCAACTCCCAAGTGCGGTGGAAGCGTTGGAGATAGTGATGTTACGAGCGATGTTACACTAAACGGGGTGCCTTTCTTTTGAACTGTGAACCATGGTCCCTTAGCTGAGCGGATGGGAGAAACATGGAGAAACAATGCACACCACAACAAGTCCACCACGAAAAACACCACAGCACCTTCTGCTCTGGCTCGTCCTGCTCCTCCGGCTCGGGCTCCACGGTCTTGGAGCGATGATGCCGATGATGCCGATGATGCCGATGATGCCGATGATGCCGATGATGCCGATGATGCCGATGATGCCGACGCACCTCCTTGTGACCGAGCAATCCACATCAAAGGTTGACGAAGCACAGGACAGATCTTTCGCTATATAGCGACCAAACGCTCATGTGATACATACAGTTTCCGGTTGTACCAATGAAAGTGCTGTTGATGGACACAAGCCTGCACGATGTGCCGGATTTCCTAAGAAATTAAAGGATCAATGGATCCTGTGCTTTCAAACCAGCAGAAGCCTCACTTCTACATCCCAAATGTTCCATCATGTTCCATCCACCTTCCTGCCATCACGCCTCATCCGCAGGGCTAGCATCCGCATCCAAGGCACCTTGAGAGCTGGCGGAGGTCCGACCAATGCATTTGAGGAAACAAACGTGGCAAGACATCCCCAGACGTGCGCCATGTGGTGCGACCTAGGACGCTGGAGCTCCGGCTCCTCGGAGTGGACCCCGCGCGCCTGGCTCGTTCCAGGTGTCCGCCCCAGGCCGAGTGGCCACTGCCACCGCAGCCTCGAGCACCTGGGCGGCGATCGAAGCACCGGGTGAAGAACGGACTGCCACAGCTGATCAATTATGGAGCTCACCTAACACCTGCATGTTTGGCTTTTTGGGGTCCGAATGACGGACACTCTCCACAACAGGGAGGTCCCCTGCCTTCAAAAGAGGATTCAGGTGCACCCCAGTCAGCTGGAACACGGACTACAGTTTTCTGACTGTGCACGAATGAAAATGTGGATAGTTCGGGCAAGTCAATCTCAATCATGTCTGGTAAAATGATACATGAGAGCGCTCTTCTTGTCGACGATGTACTAGTGCCAGTGAACCCCCACCGGAAGCATGAAGGAGCTGATGCAAGGAGCTGTCGATACCAGGAGATTTGATTGAGGCCCTCGACTCGTTCGCGCAAATGGCATGTGACCATTGCTGTTGGAAGATGTGTTGATCCCCCCACCCCACACCTTCTGCAAACGGCAGAGGGCACACGAGTCAGGCGAGGCACAAACACAAGCCATACGCGCTTCATGCGTCACCTGTCTGTCAGGGCAGGCCCTTCAGCTCGCTGGCCCCGAGTTATATAGATTGAATGCTAAAGCACAAATCTGATGGAGGGAGCATCCCGCATTTGTTCAAGATGTGTCAACCACTTGAGATGCTGGAACACCAAAGAATTTAGAGATCTTCTTGGCATGGCAAGGGCGTTTTCTTTCTGAATAGTCAAACTTGCATGGACTCTGACTCTGCTCTCAAGAACCGTCGGTGCTTCAAAAAGGAGCGAAAGCATGGATTGCACCTACAGTGCGGATAATGTCAATTGTAAACAGGCCTTCCAAAATGTTCAGACAACCAATCAACCCTCATCGAAACCCCATTCCAATCGTCACTCTCTCGGGATTGGTCCCGCCTTGAAACAGGTGCAACCAGAGTCACACCTGACATGGCCTGACCTTGAGCCACTCACGTCGCGGCTCTGCGGCGCCGTCTTCCGGTCTTCTCTTCGCTGTGTGCGGTTTTCGCACGGTCTGCCGTGCTTGGTTCTTTCCAGTGCTGGCGCGGTACAGATTCTAGATGCCCTTATGCATCGGTTTTGTCCAACGGTCACCAGCAATCCATAAAAAGAACGCAAAGAACTCCAAATGAATAGAAATGCATCACCTACATTCATATCCACACTACAAAGTTGGTAGCTGCGAGACAACCTTTTAATGGTCGATAGCCTCACATGTCGTTTGGTGGAAAACCGAAAATTGCTTGGGTGCGTCACCCAACATTTGTTGGACATAAAACCAACATATGGCTGTGGTAGGAAGATGAGACAACATGTGGCTGTGGTTAGCTGGAGCCAACATGTAGCATAGGGCATAAACTGCATATTCTCGGAATGGAAGGCAACATATATCCAAAAGCTGCCGTGGCCATATAACTGGTTCACTCCTGGGTGTCACGACGTGTCTTCCCACATTGATGCCATACATACCCTGCCAGGTCAGCTTATTGCCGGTGAATAGCTTCACCGGGAATCCAGGCAAACCACTTTTTTGCCCGTGTTCTAAAACTGTGACCAACAAAGAGAAGCCAATTCCACTCTCAAGCAATAGAGAGGTGTGAGTCAAAGTGGGTAAAGAGAAAACAAGACTATAATAGGGTCCCCAAAATGTTTTTCAGGCTGGTCAGCCGATGAAGATCACACTTGTCCATGTTCCACCCCCAGAATATCTGGCCACCTGTCTTGGTTTGCATCTGATGACCCCCCCCCGCCCTGCATCACGCAAAACACGAGTCCCTTTCCGGCGTCTCAGTGGGTGGGCCGGCTGGTCGGCACCTTCTCTTTCAAAGCGTCTCGGCTCTTGTACTCTGTGGCAGCACGGCCTCATTGAAATCACTGAAACGTCTCTCTCACTGGTCTGTCCAAAAAGACCCGTTTACGGTCGTGTCCAACTAAGAAAGGTGGATTGAAATGCAGAATCTTGAAGTTCAACATAGCATATAGCTGGACAATGCTGGACATGTCAGGCCGGGTTGAAAGCAACCATTGTCCCTCAACCTCTGTCAATGGCCAACCTACTGTTTCATAATCTGGCTAGTCTGGGTTTGCTCCCATCATCTGCCCAAACTCCACATCAACCTGATTTCTGGGCTCTGTGGATCTTGGAACCTTCCCTGAGGTCTCACTCACAGACACACAGCCCGGATCGCCACGGGCGTGCAGAGCGTCGCATCGGTCTCGGCGAGAAGCAGAGTGCCCTGTCATACTGACGCAGGGCGGCCTGGCTTCCGAGGCCAGAGACCGGCCGGAAAAAAACAAAAAACAACAACTGAACATGTCTGAACGGTTTGTGTCGGAGATCGAACCGATCCGTGTCCTTCTCGTCGGGGATCGAACCTACTATCTGCAAAATGCAGAATTGAAAACTCAACCATTGGCAGAAGCCCTTGAGAAAATGTTCTTTTCTGGCCCCTGACTTCCACCCGCCACTGGCTTGAGAGGAAGCCATCAGAGGTGGGAAATAATTCTTCTCGGCGCTGGGCGGATGGTTGTTTCGATGGCGAAAGACGAGCCGTGCAGATATTGAAAGAGAACGAAACATGTTCTTTGAACCGGAACCCAAAAGCCAGTATGCAAGTCTCCACCCTCCAAATAGAACAAAATGGTCTTGAAAGTTCATTGAGGAATGGTAAGCCACACAAATCCACTGAATCACAACAAGGACTCAAGAAATTGACAGTTGTTTTCGGACATCTAAGCCTGCCTCTTAAGGCGGAAGATTGGCCACTGTTCATTGTTGACTCAAGAAATCCAGCACATAGTATACACAATCAATGTCAAAAGCGGGACATAATTCTCTCAGGTGGTGCAAGAGTTTTCGTTCACTGGTGGGCGCCTCCCCTGCTGCATCTTGTTGCGTCCTCCCTGTGCAACCGTGCCTGCTGCGCTTGCACTCCGCCCGGCCGCCGTTCGGGCATGGCGCTAAAAATCAAATGCAGTCGGGCCTCCTCCGGCAGACAAATAAGGCTAGGGACCCAAATGGCTAGAGGTGTCGGATGTAGGTTGGACACATTTTGGTTGGTGAGTGTAGTTGAACCAATCTGACTGCAAAATGGTTGCTGCATCTTCATGGCAGCCCATAAACTATGGGACTGTAAATCTTGGTGCTGATACAAATGGCAGGTGGTTTACAGCTCAAGTGTCGAGCTTGGAGCTTGAGGGTGCAAATGGTGATGCGTAGTGGCTAGACAGGCTCTGCGAGCCTAGTTGGGGAGGTGCTTCAACCCCGCTGATGACCCAAAACCAACGATGTCGTGTCAAGTGTTTCTGCTGTGGTTGTTAGTCTTCAGCCCCACGCTTTGATCCACGAAAAGTGGCGCATGCCTCGCTTCTTCTGTGCGTGCTGAGCATGGAGAAGAGATTCCAAGTCTACAAGGTGAGCCGTCAATGCACGTTTTTCTCCGCAACTTCGTGGCGGTGTTTCGGCGCCATTGGGCGCAGGCTTCGGACCGCCCGCATTCGCGATGATTTGAAGAGAAATTCTAACATATTGTGGACACTTTTATCGAGGAAATGTTTCTGCAGTGGGCTGAGCAGGAGAAAGATGCCATACCTGAAAATTCACCTGATGAGATTGATCAAACAGGCCGGAACATCAAGAATTTCTCTTCAAATGTGGCGGCAAAATCATTTAAGGCAGCACCTCCGCGGCGAACGAATTGAACAACTTGCATTGCGAATGGTACAAGGAGAGATGCCCAAAAAAGAACTGGGGAGTTTGGGGGTTCGAGCCATAGCCATGTGATCTCATGTGGACTAAAAGCATACGAGCTCCACCCCTCCGATGGCAATCATCCTGTTTGTGTGCTCGTCTAAAACCCTTCGAAGCACCTCACTCGACCCACACCGGCCGGAACTGCGTTGGCCTCTTTTTTTACACGCTTTGCACCGCTTGAAAGGTTTCAACAAAGCTTATCAAAAGCGATGACCATATTTCCGCAGCTACCTTTCCTTAGGGCCTTAGGGTCATTCATGCTCAGACATTTAAAGTCCATCACAGCTGGCAACTGCAAGCACCGCAATCGCAGCTTTAAACGTTGTCCTTTCCTCGGCCAGACCTCAACTCTGGAGCCTGAACAAATGGCCCTCGTGGGCCACTTGTGGGACCCTTTTTGTTGCACGTGAAGCTCCCACAAGTTGGATGACCTACCTATCTATCTTACCTGAGTGCTTTTGGGGTACTAATTACAGTACTTTTTTTACGTGCTTCCAAAGCAAACGATATAGTAATTGCAACAAATCTTGAATCTCAAGTAGGAACCGTATCTGTTGGCCCTTGTTCACTCCTTCACTCAAGTTCGCTCGTTCAGTCGATCTGTACATCAGTTCCTGCCACCAATCTGATCGGTTGTGAACCCCAAAAAGAGAAACAAGGCCTTTACCTTTGGATCTTGACCTTCGACGAAAACACTTACCCACAAAGCCAGACGCTCCATGTATGTCCATGTAATGCCTACATTGACCCATGAAACCTCCCCAACGTAGGCAATATTCTATACATGGAGTGCCTAGTAGGCAAGGTCAAGACCAGAGGTAAAAGGTATAGAGGGCGACCGCTTTTCTGGGGATCAACAAAGGGCTTCTTCCTGTCAGATTTTCACAAAATTGGTACGCGACCAGCAGTATCCATCTACAGCACAAGGCTGTGGTTTCGACAGGCTCCATCCCTTTTGCGCCTCTGCAGCTGCAATTGCCGCGTTCCAGGAGGCGCAAGAACGCTGGCCCCGCCACTGCCAGAACTCCTTGCAAGCCTGACAGAACAATGGAGACCACACGCCGGCCCTGCTATTTATGGACACCCCTTTTTCGGAGGGTCTTGGTATACATACCCTAAGGATCGGGAACCGTGAATCCTTGGGCGGATCTCTATTGGTGCAGGTTGCCGGTGTCCAATGGCCACATTTTACTCATAACCTGCCATCCAACCATTTGCGTTTGTCAAAGCAACATTGGAACCCACAAACACTGGGTGAAGTCGATGTGGGGCCGCAGGTTGCCTCAAACAATCTAGCATGCAGCAAAGCTCGGTGGTGCCACCTGTTGGGAACATCATCCCCGGCACAAGCGAAGGAACAAAAGTTGGTGAAGCCAGAAAAGGATCTTTGTTTAGGTTTGAGAGCCCCTAGAATTAGTGGCACATGATATGAATGATGTGTTTGAGGCTCGTGGTTTGGGATCGCTGGATCGCTTTCATCCACTAGTCCTCCAACTATGCAAAGAGCGCGCCCACTTTATATTAGCATTTATAGACCGACTTTGCAGCTGGTGAGCACCTTCACGGCCTTTGTCCGCGGCCCAGGCTGCAATCACTCCCATCTGTGTCAGGTGGCCCAATGGCACTAGTTGCCAAGGTGGCCTAGCTCCATCATCAAACCTGGCTTGATCAAATTGTCTCATGCATGCAGGAAGCTTGATTTTGTGTGCAAATGGGGTTCGGACTTCTGAACAACCAGGTGGGTGGGACATGGTGCATCAAAACCCATTTCGACACCCATCTTGGGGTAGGACAATCCACTGTTGAGACCCATCCCACTCAATTGAAACAGGTGAAACTCCTGCTCTGGTGGTTCAGGGCCCCACCTGGCCAACATCTTGGAGGCCCGTACGAACTAAAAGCCTTGTGCTTTGAGCCAAACTCGCAGCAGCGGTGAGCTTGGTGGCTCCTTTTTGGGGCTTAAGAGCTGACATAACGTATGTGTCTCGAACTCATCGAGGAGAACAGGGAGAAAGTTGAGGATGTTCCCACTTCTATAAACTGTTTGTAGGACTGGCGCAACGCCAGAAATGAAGGAACTAACGTCAAAGACCAAGGCCACGATTGGCCTGGTAGCTCCATGTAGCCCCCATGTAGCCAGTGTGTCATGTCCCACAAATCCCATAGAAAACTAAACTATGAATCTGAAACAACATAAACATCAACCCTTGGCGCGGTCCTCGACCTTCAACCTACTGGCAAAACACCGGGCGCTGCAAGTTCGCGGTTCAGAAGACGATGGCTTTTTGCACTGAAACCGCGGTTCGAGTGGACGCGGTTTCCGCGGGTCACCGCTGCTTCATCAGCGTTTGTAGCTCTTGCGAAGGAGCGCCCTTCCTCAGCGGGCCACCAAACCGATATCAAGATCATCAGCAAGAAAAGCAAGACTAGAAAAGGAAGTTTCAAAGCAAAAATCATAGGGGTTTGAACTCAATCACAGGGAAAACTCCCCAAAACCAAGAAAGAACACAAATGAAAGAAGGAAAGCAAGAAGTCCTTCAAGTCAGGTGGCCTCCTGCCTCCTGTTCTCCCAACTTCAGAAACACATCGACAATTTATATATATATATATATACACACGCGACCAAAAGCTCACCGACCGTCTCCTGTACAAGACTACCCTTGGAACACAAGGCCCTTACGGCCACGAACTTTTCCCCATTCCTCGAAACCCCTCAGAATGGAAAGGGCCCTTCTCCAGGTGGAAACATATGGAATGAAAGGATGCTATTCGTGGTGTTTCATGTTTGGGGTCTTGGGGTCTGGACCCCCTGACCCCCCCTTGCCCCCCCAAACCCCCGATTCCCAACCGCTTCCCGCCGGCGTCGGGAAACCGAGGGGCTCCCTCCCGGTCCCCGGCCCAAAAACCATCTCCGAGGCGCGCCAAGCGCCGGTCCTTCTTCCGGCGGAGCTTTTGCTTTCGGGATTCCAAATAGAAAAAAGTGGGATCCTCAGGCGGTATCAGACGCGAGGTCCGAAGGAGGAGGAGGAGGAGGAGGGTGGTGTCGCGAAGAGTCCGCCAAAACAGACACGGATGGGTGGGGAAAGGAGGTTTATTCTATGGTCTTCGAGTAACCGGGAGGAGATGTGTTTATAGCTGATAGCGGTTGAGAAAGTCTTGAGAACAGGCGAGCAGTTACTCAAAGACTCTTGCGACTTCGGATTACCCGATTGCAAACAACGTGGTCTTCCAAAACGGATGCAAACGGATTGCATGCAAACGTGACAAGCAACGGCGATCTAGGTCTGAAACCGGCTTCAGTGTCTACAGTGTACAGAATTGTAGCCGCAGCCACAGTCGGGGACACTGAAAAACAAATAAATGACCGTCGGATCTGGGAGTCTGGAGGATCCAGTGTGTGTCCAATTACCCGGTCAAAGATGATCGGTGTTTTGGGGGGAAGGGTCTTTACTCAATCATCCACTAGGCCCTGGTGATGAGATATACCCAAGTTCGATCCAACCCAAAGCAAACCGGAATCCGCTTGGAAAGAGGTGCTGCGACCAAGCGGGTTGGGGAGTCAAAAAGGGGGAGTCCAATGAATGGCCTGCTCCAGGTCAAAATGGAGGGGATCGACTTTTAGGTGGGCCACCCCAGTCTTGAACTTCTTGCTGTGCACTTCCTGTGCGCTCCAAACATGGGAGCATACAGTGGGGAGTTCCTTCGTTCGGATGGGAGTTCCATACAGATTTCATGTCCTCCAAAACTCAGTGTGCACAGCATGTGTGCACGGACGCACGGACCCCGCTCTACCAGGGAAGCTGGAATGTGCAAAAGGGCCTTTGACCATCTGCAGCAACATCTGGGAAGCTGAGAAAACACAGCGATCTCAATCTATAAGGGATTTCCAACCCAAGGAATGTTCATCTGCTTAGTCCTTTCATGTCCTTACCACCTGGATCGATTCTCTTGTGGTTGACAGGACAACTACCACCTACGGGGGCCAAGGGATCTGCTGAGGCCTACTTCTGCGGGTCAAAACCCCAAAAAAAACTCAGTCATGACTAATCTTCATCATCTCCCAACAACAACAATCCTCACCTTCAGATGAGTGAAAATGTTTGTCAATGTCTTTCATCCATGTGCTCACGAACGCGAGCCGGCTCGCTCAGCTGGCATCACCCAGCACTGGGTGCCCACACCGTCAGCGCAGCATCTCCCATAGCAGCCTGCGTCGGACGGGTCGGACAGAACCACGGTGCAAACGGTCTGAAGAACACATTGCTTTGTGTTTCACTGTGATTTCACATGTTGCTTGGTTTTACACGTTTGTGCTGCTCCGGTCGGTTAAACAGGAAGTTCAGCATATTTTGGTGGGGAGTCTCCGCCCATGAAGTCTTCATGCAGCCGCCGGTCGGTTGGATCCGAACTTGACCCTGGAAAACGCACCATTGCGGGGGAACTGTGAGGTATTGATTTTGACATCTGGAATTCACTACTGTACGGCCCTTGTTTGGCGGACCGGGCCGGCTTGGCGGGGGTTGTGACTCGGTTGTGACACACATGACGAGACATCTGGAGGAAATATGGGACATCAACTCTTACAGAGACAAGATTTGCCGGATATCATGAGAAATCGCTGTGTGTTGTAACGACTTGGCTACCCATGAAGAGAATTAAAGAGAAGACTTGCTGGGCTGGCTTCTTGATTTGCATCGCACAGAAGCAGCCACTTCTACCACTCCCAATTGCTTATAGTCCGGTGGTACTTCGTGCAGTCTCAAACAGAACACCTCCCTAACTACCTAAATACCACAAATATCCACAAATAAACATATGAGTTCACTCATTGGCACGCGGCACGCGCTGACACAATATGACGCAGTATTATACATTCAAAATTCAAACACTTCAAATCTCTTGTTCACTTTTGGTTCAGCCTCTTCAAACAAATGGGTTTCTCTTCATTCCACCACCGTTCTGAACCGGTGCCGATGGTGTTGTGAACCGTGCCCATCATTCGCCCAGGCGGTTCTTCCAGGCGCACATGGCGCTTCAGCGCACGCGTGCGGACCTGCATGGCTTGTTGCATCATGGAGATGTACTCCGTCGCTCGGTCGTAGTACTGCGCATCTTCGGTGGTCGCCGCCTCGAAAAACGGTCACCGTTGGTTCGAAGTCGTGACGAATTCGAGCCCAAGGGCGGATGGGTCACTGGCGGATTGGTTGTGCAGTTCGTTAGTCACCAAGAATAACGAACCAAACGTCCAATGTGAAATATGTTTCAAACTTTCAAACTGTCAAATACTTCCCTGCGACGTCCGCGGAACATGATTGGTCGAAACAAAACATACTGACTTCTATGCCCAGAGTTCTATTCATACACAAACACAGTAGATTACAACCTCTCTCCAGGGTCTCTAGGTGTTGCTTCTTCATCTATTCAGATATTCCGAACTGTGCTTGTAGGAAGTGCATTCGGTAAGGAGATCTCATTTACATAACCGACCAGCATCCAGCATCCAGGTAAAAAGGTTCTCATGTGCAGTCTGCGAAAGCGGCTCTATTGATCTACACGTGCACAGCAGGCTTTGATGTTGATTGGTTAAACAATAAACCAATCAAGCAACATTCAATTGTTGCCTCCAGGACAGGGCCCCCCAGGCCCGAATCCAACACGGCCCTGCTTTCAAGTGGCAACGTACTCTGGTGGAAAACTCACCTCTGGTGATCCTTTGAAGCCTTTTCAACCAACGAATTATTAGTATTGTGCACTTCGCGTTGAGACAATTTCTCCAAGCTGGATTCAAGGCTTCTTCGGCTACTTGTTCCTTTTCGTGGTGGAAACGTTATAGGATACCTAAAAGACTTCAGAAGGTGTGGTGATATACAATAATACCGACCCTATAAACACACGCTTCAATGCGCTGTCAGATGTTCATGCACCGGTTCCATTCAAAAAAGGACCACACACCACCACAACTGGCCTTCGCGTCGTAGAGGGTGATGAGACCCGCACAAATCTGGCTCACGGCAGGGTTCCTCAGTGACCGAAGACACCAACGCGGTGACCCCGACCAAAAAAACCGCTGCGACCCGTGAGGATTCGACTTGTGACCACGGAAGGATTTCCACAGGAAGGAAGGATGGTCCCTCAACACTGCGTGAGTTCAAAAAGGAATCGAAGAAAGGATTTCCAGAAAGAAAGATCTAACCCAAACGCTCCGTGAGTTCACAGGCCGATGGATGGTCCCTCAAAACCGGATTCGAGATGCCAAACCCCTAAATATGAGGATCTATGAGCGTGTGCAATGTGGAACACTTCGATAACAAAACCAATATGGGATCACAGCTGCATCCCTCCCTCCCTCCCTCCCTCCCTCCATCCATCCATCCATCCATCCATCCATCCTTCTTTCTACCCAGATCAATTGTGCATCTTCTTGTCAGATACACCACCGATTCGATCTCATTCGGCCTTGGCACCTGTCGCCCTGCCCTCGTGTCTGCCCTCCTGTTCACCTCTGCACCTGGTGGACCGTGCCGACACGGACGCTTTTGTTCACCGAGAACGTCGGTCTCTGTGGTACCGCGGGACGCAAAGCCGCCATTCTCCATCATGTCTTGCAGGGCCTCCTCGTAGTCCTGCGCTTGGACGGCACGAAGGAAGCCGAACGCAAAAAAAGACCCGAAGCCTTTCAAGAAGTTGAGGAACATGCCTCCGGGGTGTTTGACCCGTTTGACTCCGGACCCACCTGCCTTCCTGCACCGGTGTGGCTACATTGGTTCAAACCGCCGAGAGATCTCAGAGATCAGTGGAGCTGTGGCACTGTGACAAGCTTCTTCCCCAAGTTCTCCAGCAAAAATACAACAAACACATCCCACAGTTCTGTGGTGTCGCTTTGTCTTGGAAAAGCTGCTTTTTGTGATGTTGACATGGTATTCCACCTGTTTTGGTTAGATACTATAGTACTTCAGGACTTGAAATCAAACAAAAATAAGATCGGGGCCAAACGGGGTTTGCATGGTTTCCAATAGAAACTAGGAACCTGCTTTTTCTCCTGCGATCTCACAGAACTGCGAACACGGTGGCAGTTGGGCTGACCATCGCGAAGTAGTAAGCACAATCGTTCTGCCTCAAAAGGGCTTCTCCTCTGGCAAAGGAGCATGGCACATGCACACCCTTTTTTGAAAACACTTTGAACCAATTGAAACCCTGTCCAGATCAGGTCCGCAAAAAGCTGCGTAGACAAAGGCTAGCGGGTAGAGAAGGTCCAAATACAAAGCTTCCATCCATGACCGGTAAGAGACAGCGAAAGTGATGCCTCCATGGTCAAGTCCATTTCTTTTTAGATTTCATTTGCAGTCCCGGACTGCTGCTGCATCTGCTCAATTTTGGAGCAACAAGGTACTATTAATTATGACATATCATGACCATGTACCCACAGAAAGAGGTCCTGGAAATGGATTCTTCGAGGTGTCGGAGTAGAGGTGAAAAGAAGAGTGAACAGGTGACAATCACCTGGGGTTGGTACATGGGATAAAAAACCATTGGCTTCTCTACGTATTGCCTCAATAAATGTCCTTACGAGGGTGGAATCAAGGCCTGCGGCTTATGTCCGTGATGAGCACGGGAAACAAAAATGGAGGACAGTTAGATCTCCAAACCATTCTTGGCCAACCACCTCTTCTGCCCCCAAAAACACCACTTACAGGACTTGTAGGGACGACTGCTCCAATATCAGCTGCAGGTTTTTGCCAACCCAGGGACTGCGCAAATTCGCCGCGGTCCCATCGGTCCGTCATCTGAGTGACGCCTTCCTCGGTGAAGGGATTGTCCGCCGCCTGGGTGCCAGGACTGGGCGGATTGTCTGGATGGTCACTCAGTTCCGGGTTACACGCACAAAATATGCACGACAAGAACTAGGCAACTCAGATGATGATGAGTTGTGCAGACGCACTTGTCTTGGTGGCCATGCCGCCATGATCCGCCATGCCTGGTTGGGGATAAGCCTTGTACATAGATGTTAAACTTGAAGGATCAAGTTCATGTAAAGCACTTCAAAGACGTTCTTCCTTAACTAGATGGAATCCGTACTTCGCAAGCCAATAAGCGGGGAAGAGGGAGGAGCAAGGAAGAGGTGGAGACCCAAGCAGTTTCACCCAAAGTGACAACAGAACCAATATGGACTATTGACATCAAACATTCTTGTACCAAAAGGTTAAGCACACACATGCACACACCCTTGATGGTACTCTTGATGATATATGTTACTAGGGCCGAGGTTTGTGCCATCTGGGCTGTTCATTACTGGTTTCATGTGGCTTCATTATGTATCAGCTGGCTGGTGGACAGCAAGAAGAATCGCATTCCAAAGAATTCTTGTCTGGCAGAAACCGTCCAGGTTAATCAGCAATTCAGCTAGTCTAATCTATCAAACGTATAAAAATGATACCTGCCCAAGCGTGCGTCCTGCCGTATGCGTGTCCTGCCGAATACGCGTCCTCGAAACCAAGTGCAAGGACGCACGGTGCGGTTTGACATTTAACTTTCGCCCTTGTTGGCGCAAATTTATGGCCTGTCTATTTGGGACAGTGTTCAGGAAAGGATATACTATTGTTGCCTTCTTTGATGCATTTTTCCACCTCCCTCACTATTTTAGACATGTAGAACTTGGCAAGGTGCACTCGGACTGCGTGCAATTTAACCACATACATACTATTGAAGGAAACGCTTCTGTCGAACTGATTGAACGCACACCAAAAGATAGAGGTTTGCGTCAAACTAGGACACTGGACAAAATACCCACATAGACACATACAGTTCAATCGACCGCCGTGCCTGCCTTGGGGGCAAACGACCTTAATTACCTTCAGTCATGATTGACATTTACTGGCCCCAAAAAGAACTCTTGGTCATGCCGGTGGATACACTGTAACAAGAACAAAACCACAAAAAAAACCTGGACGTGACACTAGAATCACTGGATTCACTGGCCAAACAACTAGTCTTTGTTATTGGCAGGTGCTTTTGGTTGTCAACTCAACCGACCCCTTCTATCCCCAGCTGTGCGAACGTTGGCACCTGCAGCACGAGCTCGGCTATCCCGTCGCTGACCCGTGGCTTCAGGGCCTCATATTTGTCCGGCATAGATGCCAAGTCTCTGAATTCCCCAGTGTTCAATACATAAACACTGGTCCATATGGTCTATGCCAACGCAATAGACCAATTTTCAATACACGTCTCCACTCCATAAATTCAAAAAGCGGGCTCGTCTAGAGACTCCACATTGATCCCAAAGCTCCATCGCGACTTCTCAAATGGTTTGAGAGTTTCCGAAGATATCATGGAACGCAAACAATCCCCGGAACCCCCCCTCCATGCTCAGACGGGAACGCGACATGGCAAAAAAGAACGGCAAGGTTCTACAGAAGGGGGTCGCACAATCAACGGCTAATAGGAGCACAATTGCTGGCCAATTGTGGACTAAAGTACGGACACATCCACAACTATATACACCTCCCCGGCAAATAAGCCTCCACTCCATGCCTGATCTTCTTGTGTAAGTTTGGACCAAAAAGGGTTAAGGATTAAAATTAGTGGATGTGCAACTGTTTGTTGAATTCAACCTCGATGAACATGCCGGTCGAGGCTTTGGCTAACTCCAAGGTTTCTGAATGAATGGACCTGCACAATATTTACATCAGTAATTATTTATGGATTTTACAGCATGATGCAATACTGGGCGCAATCAGTTTTTGTAACAGCTACAGGCAGTGTTCCAGTTCTTTTGGTGAAGCTCCTTAGTTGAGCTGATCCTAGGCTTATTTTTGAGTGGGGGGGCATAGGTCCTAACAAAGCCCTGGATGTTTTATATTTGCCAGGGCCAGGGGTGGGCGGGTTTGAGGGGGGTGTTTGCAATCCATGAAACCGGGAGCACCGAACGTATTGGAAAACCTTAAATAGATCACTACCACACTGACAAGTCACATGGATTTTCTATGTGAAAAAACTCAACAAATGCGGTTTTTAGCTCTGGAAGGGCTTGTAAAGCATCATCCTGCGGGAAAGCATCTTTCTCGCAGCTTCAAGCAGGAAATGTCAGCTTTGGGTGAAATCCTTCAAACCCACCTAAGCTGAGCTATGGATTATGACAATGTCTACGTGATATCTCAAAAACAAGTAGCCAACATTTTAACCAGTCATACTGTCATACTCTGATCTTTGCTTTTCCGAAAGCCAAACCATCCAAACCGTCTGCATCCTGTATCCAAGCCGATGCAACCCATCCATCCTCCCTTTCGGGGCCCCATCCAAACATCTGTCAAGTGGCTACAAATCCCAGCTCCAAGGCATCCGGAAGGCTCTGCTTGGTGAAGGTCTGGTGACCGGAGGTGGAGGGCCGCAGGGCTGATGGATCTGCACTCTGCGAAGCTGTTTGTTGTGAATGATGTTCGTTGTGAAGCTGTCTTTCGTGCATAGTGACTATAGATGTGACTAATTAGTGTTTTTTGTCCACTCGTCTTGCCATAGTGCTACATTGAACAAATGCTGAAAAATAACACTTTCTTTGAGCTGCTTGAGAAAGCTTGCGGTGACTCAGTCCTGCTGAAGGCAGGTTTTGGGCTCAGCAGCGCCTTTCTATTGCGAATGGATCGGTTGATCAAGCTTTTGAGTCTGAAGAATATGCTTGACAGGTGAGTAGGCGGCCTTATATGGATCCACCCAAACGAAAACACATAAAACCATGAATTGTCCTTCCCTGCTGCCAAGTTGGAACATGTGGTGTACACCAACTAAATCTCACCTTCAGCTCTGAGAAATAGATGTGTTCAGGGCACATAAACATATACGTGAACAAATCGTTCTTTATACGCCTAACGTGGTGCTCCATGGTGGTGCTCCCCAGCATGCAAATCCTTCGCTCGAGGACGACAGTACTGAGAGTACTTGGCATGGCTGAGGTAGGGAACACAGTTTCGGACCATCTCTTGCAAATGGCAACCATGCCCCAGGAACATAAGACCACCGCCTTAGGGGTCCCATTCCACAGTCCCATTTCCTACCAAGTAGATGCGGCCGCAGGCTGATCGAGATCACAGAGGAGGAGCCCTTATCTCGTTACTTTTAATGAAGGGTAGCCATGGCCCCAAAAGCAATTAGGGTTCCAACCAACGCAGCGGGTGTAGTCCCAGCCAAGGCCTTTTCATCGGTGCCCAGGCTACGACACGTTTGGGTAGAGCCTACGCTACACACCATAGAACGAGAAGCATGGCGATATTGCGGGTGGTCTCCATGCGATACGCTACTTTCCAAGGATGCTATTTCTTGGTCATAGTCGAAGCACCAGGCTGTCTCGACTTTGGAGTACGGACGTTCTCAGAATGCTGTGCCCTGGAGAAAGTCGGCATCATCAAAGGAGATAACAGCCTATTGGCGGAAGGAGCGACGCTAGCGCCACATGTGTTTGAGAGCTGCATTAGGCTCTCACACCTCGGCATATCACACACCCAAACAGGGCCAGCAGCACCTCCCATGCCGCCCCCTGAATCAGGAATACCGCAAGGGTGCTTCCACTCGTCAGGGATCCAAAGAGTAACCTTAATGGCGGATGCAAGCTATGTTGGGCACAGAGCCTATGAGAATTGCAAGCAATTAGTCAGAGTCGACATATCACTTACGACGCTGCAAATCCTTAATACGCATACTTTTTCGCACTGTGTGAGCCTAACTGACATATGCCTGCCGGCCACCGAAATCCATGCAGAAGCTTTTAAAGGATGCGTTGCTCTCTCGAGTGTTGCGCTTCCCCGTAAGTTGAAATATATAGCGCATAGAGCGTTCGGCAACTGTAACAAACTGTTACACCTCTGCCGAAAACGTGAGGATCGAGGCCCATGGAGACGGCCCTATGCTGAGCGTAACGCCTTTGAATTGTGCTTTCGACTGGAAATGCCATGGTGGCTCAATTACCTCCCCCCCAACGGGGATGACTGGACAGTCCCTCCAAGCATTAAAAAACCTGACCCGTAATGAGGAAAGCAGGTCAAGCTAGGGCGGTCACCTTAGTCACTGTCCCTAGAGCAACCATTGGCTGCCGTCTCCACTATCGACACAGATGCCAGTTTCTATCGCTATCAGATGCTAGCTCTTGCGAAGCTGTAGAGTGAGTGATTTTGTATGCACGTAAGATATCAAGACTGTAACCTTACAGACCAACCTCCACTTGAGACAGTACTCGGAAGCGCCTTGGCTCAAGCTGTCAGGACACATCCGTAGCAGTAGTGTCACTTCGTTATGGACGTTGGAGGTCCCTCGCAGGTCAGCACACCGGCCAGGGATGAGCAGTCAACCACTTGTCAGCTTACGCTAATTACCTTAGCCGGGGAAGAGGTCCGGCTGCCAATTGAACTACGAGAATTTGACCAACTATGTGAATTCGAGAATGAGGTGCTTCAAAGTCTGTCAACAAGTAATGCAACCACCTTCGGGTGTGAGTTGGACTTCGTGAACTCGACCACACAAGCACTCCTCAGAGACCCCATCTGGGAACAGCTACAAACATGCAGCTGCTACACTCTGGTGGTGCGGCCTTGCCTCACCAGAGTGGAGCACAAAGGGCAGCTACGGCACAGAGCCAAGGCTATTCACGTTTGGCTGACGAAGGTGGACTTGTCCTGCCCAATGCCTTTGCGCATGTCCCAGACTTGAGACATGTATTGGTTGAAACAGGCATTCATACCATAGGAGCCTCTGCCTAGCAAAGCTGCCGACAACTACAGATTTTCCGGCAGTGTTGTTAGCATCCAAGAGGGAGCTTTTCTTGGTTGCTATGCTCTCACAGATATCAAGCAAATCGGACGTTGAGCTTTTGCAGAATGTTGTTCTCTGTCCCACATAGGAACCACTGAGGGGGCCTCTAATCTGCTTGCCCCGCAAGCCCAGATTTCTCCATATGCCTTCGAGAGTTGCCTTGCCCTTCTACAACTCACCTTTGGCCGAACAGGAGCACATGACTTAGCAGTAGCGGGATACCTACCAGAGGGGAGCTTTTGCGGGTCAGGGATTGGGCAGTTGAAGCTGCATACAGATTACAACTTCATCGGGCCTATTGCGTGTGAAAACTGCAAAAGACTACGAACTGTTGATCTGGCTGGCACGGACATCATATATATAAAGCTTCAACTGTAAGGCGCTCTCTCTTTTCTCTGCTGCTTGCAGTTGTCACAGCTATTGGCCTATGGCCTCGACCCATATCTCCCAACAGCTCAGCCTCATGGCTTGTCTCGACTCATCACCGGCCACCACAATGTTGTAGGAACATTTGCTCGTCTCAAGACTTCAGCTTTCTGAAGAAACAATGGAAACATTTTTGCGAAGGTCACAACAATGGCTCTTTGATGTTCAGTAAGTTGCAAGAGGTACTGCGTCGAACCAACTTCTTGTATGTATATTTCCATTACTTTGGCATTAACCCAACGGCCTCTGCGTTGAACAAAGCTTGCATTCTCAGTGGTCTGAAGCTGCCAAGTTGCTCCGCCGGGTCGAAGCGACCCGACATCCAGACACTTCTGTGCCTGGCAAGCTCCGGTTTGCAGCCCCAACGCACTGAGAAGATTTTTGAACCGCAGCCTGAAGGTCTGTGCCGAAAAGGGCCATATACGACTCAAAGGAGGCAAGTTCTTAAACGCCAACTCGCAAACCCTCACAAGATCACCAATGTCGCACTTTGCATACTGGTGCCTCGCAGCAACAAAACGAGTTTTGGGCTCTTGCAAGGACAACAACAAAAAGCTGTTTGTACCCAATGTATCCGACGGAAGAAGTAAATCTTTCCGAAAAGCTCCAGTCATTTCTGATGTCCTCAAGAGAGCGCCCCATCCGAGCGACAGTACGCCAGCCACTTCAACCCAACCCCATGCGAGTGCAACGCTGAGCATCGCCAAAAGGATTTGCCAGGGCATTGCTATGTGATGCACAGGCCTTTCTTCGCGGACCCATGCAAAAGCCAAATCCCATGCGGGTTGAAGCTGTCTTCTCAAAACAGGGCGGAACGACACAATGCTATTTATGGATTCAACGTATGTTCCATAAGGCTTCCCAGCCTCATACAAGCGCCGACCAAAAAGCTGAAGCACCTTGTTGATGGTTTCAACATTTTTCAAGGGCTCATCCAGCAAACATTGTATGTTCCAACCTGCTCTGGCGCACCATCCAAAAAGTTCTCTCAAGAGGCGATCTCTATTCCCGGCTGTCACTTCAGTAACAGGACGTCCAACAGGCAGCGGTGGCTTCAAACGTCGTGCTGACTGCCTAGCCCAGTCTCCAGGTGTGCGCGGGGCTATCATGCCATGGCAAACTACCGGGCCGGCTACGAGGACAGACAAGGAGATGACAGGAGGACAGGGGGCATGAAGTAAGAGAGAGACAAATCCAAGGAGAATGCTAAGAACTGAGGAAGGAGGCCCTTCCCCAGGAAAGCCGAGAGTGCAATCGAAATCCAAAATTCCAAAGTTGAGCCGAGAGTCATGAGGAGGCCACTCAGGAAGGCCAGCCACAGAAGTCCACTTCAGACCATGACAACGTTGGCCAGGCTTTCCAAAAGGCAAGCCATGGAATCCGAACAACCCAAGTGTCAACCTCAACCAATTTGATGCCCAACGTCTCAAGCCCTTTGAAGTAGCAGGAATCTGATATCATGCTCGTCCATCGCAGAGAAATCGACGTTCCCCAGACTCTGCCGAAGGTCATGATCCCGAGTGGGATCGTCTGCCGGGTTGTGCTGTGCCTTGTCGGCACAAAAGGTAGAGTAAAGTACAAACCTCCTGCAACAGAAAGAGCTCCAAACTTCCGCAAAAAGGGTGACAGTGCAATGCTAGAAGACCTTCCTTTAGAAGCAGCACATCTGATCACGTAGGAGTCGACGAAGTTGACAACTCTCAAAGGGCGCGGGACGCCGATCAAACGCTCAGCTAATCTGACTACACTCTTCATCTCCAAAACATTGATACGCCTTTCCGTCTGAAAAGACCATGCTGACCGGGCCTTCCACGAAGAGGATGTGGCTACCAGATTCACCAGTTGATTTTCTAGGCCGTCAACTGGCCTAGATTCTTCAGCTTGGAAAACATTCTTCCTGGCAGCGACTGCTTCAGCAAAACAGGCAGCAATCTCATGGGCAAGCTCGTGGGTGTATGATGCTGATGCCTTTGTGTACCTTCCCTCCACAGGGATGTGACTGTGGTCTCCACTGCAGCGTCTGTTTAGCCTATCTATGCCAAGGTGCACGGCAATGAAGCGAAAACTCTTGAGATGTACTGACCCAAAAGCGCAGGAATCAGAGCGCATCGTTCTCACTCCGGGCTTCTCCTCCAAAGCTCTCCAACTTGGAAGAAACCTCATCATAGACGACCACGGCTGTTCACCTAAGGCAGGCACACCATAGCGGTGGGCAAGGAAAAGGAGAGTCAATGCCCTCAACGCCAGCACGTTTCCAAGATGAGTCTTGGGATCACGAGGGTCAAACCCAAGAGGAACAGAGCTAGATCTCAGCCGGGGCCGACGAATGATTGAAAATGTAGTGCACACCGGCTCAACCATCAAGCTACCAAGGAGTCCTGAGGTGACCATGTAGGAAAGCCAGCTAATCACTCTCACCAAGGACAGGTCAAGCTCACCGCTGTAAGCTATATCGACTGGTGGCCCAACGACTAGGCCCATAGATGAAGCTGCACTCGAGACTCTTGCGGACCCTGCATAAATTTCTATGAAGTCAAACTTGAAGGCTATAGGTTTCGCAGGCCTCTGGCCTGAAAAAGCAGCAGGAGGGGCATTGACATCCTCTCCAACATCCTCAGCAATACCAAGTCGTTCAACCAGGAGCTCATAGTCAGTCTTGAGGCGCGAGTATGCCCCCTTCGTTCTGCAACACCGCCAAAGCTCTTGTGCAACGGAAGGCAGTGTGGTAGTCGACACAATGGCACCTTTTGTATTTGAGGGGTCCGTAGCAAAGATCTCCTCAGAAAAATCAGCAGCAATATCAGACACCATGAGGGGAGCCAAAACGCTCATGAGGCATAACTCATTTGCCACAGATCTTGGAAGAGCAACTGTCTTGGGCGCATCCGCATCAACACTGGCAGCATCTACAAGCTTGTGTACTGCGGTGAGGAGGCTCATGAAAGGCCTGCGATACAAAATCATCGAAGTCCAGCCACCAAGAAGACACAGGTGAAGAGAGTCCGTTGTAGCCGGTAGTTGAGCAATCTGGAAGGTCACCCAGCTAAGACTCAAGCGCTTCCCAATTGGTGATCCAACAGAAGTGATTCCACGACGGGCAGCATGGTCGTTGGAGTTGATCTCGGCTCCTATAACTCTAGCCCTTTTTTCGCCAATGACATCTTTTTGTGGAGAGCCGATCAGGTCGTACTTTTTGTAGACCGCCTGACTCTGGGAGAAATATCTTGCTGCAGCACTTTGCTCAGGAGCTAGACGGCGTGGTTCTCGAGAAATGGCAAAATAGTCATCAATCACGAGGCCATCTGCTAAGGGCCCCCCTCTGAAAGGCCTGTTTGCAACCAGCCGTGTGGAACTCGACAGGAGGCCCTGAGACTGCAAGACACTCTCATGAGAAGCTGTAGCAAATTCAACGCCTCCATGATCTCCCTGGAACAACGATTTGAAGCATATGAAGATTTCATCGCTCAACAGTGAAGCACGCTTCTTATCAGAAGGTTCATGCAGCAAGTGGAGCTGATCGCCCTCGACCTCCCGTGTGCGCTTCACTTTCTTCTCGTTGGCTTCTCTAGAAAGCATCTCACTGTAGGCGTGTAAATCAGCAACATCAGCAGCAGTCACTGGAGGACCAACCGCATTGGCCGCAGCCTTGGCGTCTGTGACAGCGAACTGATGATAAAAATCACTTCTGTCTGTGCAGTAGATGTATAGGGCCTCCTTCCTCCCATCGAGGTGGAGGTCTGTCAAGTCAGATCCAGCGGGAACATGCCTCGAGGGGCCATACACCTTTGCTTCCTGATAGTTTCTTCCACGACGGTCGCCGATTTGACGGTCACACTCCTCATTTTTGAAGTTGTTGAACATCCTTGTAAGTGACTCAGCCTCAACTGGACCTCTTCGCAGGAAGAGCAAGCCTCTTGCATCCCACATTTTTGCCAGCTGAATAATCTGCGTTGCATCATCTGTCATGATGGGGAAGTCTCCGTACTGGGGCTGTCTATCACACAGAAGCAAATCTGGCATCCTGTAGGCCATGAGCAGCTCATCACCCAGATGTGGAGTAGCGTCAAAACAGCCATGACCCTTGATGCTAAGTCTGTTTGCATCCAGCGGCATATAAGGCTGAAGCTGAGGAAGGACACTGTTGTTCAAGGGAACTTCGTGGCCATGGTAAAAATGGCTATAGGGCCCTGCGGCTCCAAGCTTGGTCACATAGTCAGATATTTCTCCCAGTCGTGCAACTAATTGAGGAAATCTTCGACCACGGGCCAACACCTCAAAGGTGCCGGAATCAGGGCCGTCAGCCGCTAAAGCATTCATCAACTTTCTGTATACGGTCCGATGGGCCTTTGATGGATGCCTCGTTCACCAAAACATGAAGGGTCCTTTTCAGATGAAGGCGACGTCGGCGATGAAGAGAGATGGATGACGGCATCCTTTGGAACACTCCAGGAGACGGAATGGGCAAAGGGAAAAGCGGCGAAGTCGAAGTCACAGAACTCCGAGGCAGATGCAGAGTAGTTTTCAAAAATGCTGCAAACGGCGTCCTGGTCCTCAACACATTTCGAAGCAAACCAGAGCACCACTTCCAAAAAGATAACGTCGGAGGAACACCAGCTCTTTCATGCATATTGAGAGAATCTTTGCCAGGACCAGAACCATGTCCAGAATGATCACAAATGCCCAAGCCACCTCTATGGTGCATTTCCCCTTTCGAAGTTTGAAGCCACCATTTTCGGAGTAGGGGGCGGGCTCATCGACAGGCAAGTAGTTTCCTCCACAAAAATAAATTCTGGAATTCTCCGGAGCAAGAGGCCTATGAGTCCTCTTGCACCTCATGCACTTGAACTCATGTTCCACTTCTCCCCCTCCTGCGCCTGCTTCGGGCGCTTGGGAAACCTGGGCTTCCGGCGAGGGGAATCTTGGTTCACACCTTCTGAACTTGTTCCTTCCTTTGGCACAGGACCTTTCTTGGCTTCGGGTTTCTTGTTTGCCAACACCTCCATATCCTTGATGTAGCTCAGGGTCGCTGCTGACCACACTGGAGGAATAAGAGGACTGAAGGGTCGTCCTGTAGCCATAATAGCCGCTGCCCTCTCTTGAAAAAGCTGAATGGGAGGCTCCTCGTGCAGGCTTATCAGGTAGGCTACTGACCACTCCCCATTGTCGTAATTCGCCTGCTCGATTGCCATAGCCAGGAGGGCAATAATCTCATTCACCCCCGCAAAATCGTCTTGGGCAGCGGCATCCACTGCATGGCCCAGAATCCATTGGATAAGTCCCAAGGTCTTCTGGTTTCGGTAACCTCCGGACTTCGATAGGTACTCCAGCATGGAGATCGACCCAACTTCCTCGACCGACCTTGGCAGTGTTCGCCCGGGGTCAGCTTCTTGTGGATCTGCTGCATGAGGAGCAAAAAGAAATTGCCTGTCCGACTGGCCAACTCTGACTGCAGCTTCTCTTCTCTGTACCCCCTTCATTGAAGAGGAGGTCGAAAAGCCGGATTGGAGGTCGGTCAAACAATCGCTCGACTGATTCGCAAAGTGAGCCACCAGCGCTGTGAGGGCATTCGACTGTTGACTCAGTGCATTCACGATAGCGCCATGGTTCCCATCGCCTGCATCTAACCCCAGGAGAACAGCATTGGGATCTTCTGGAGCCTGAGGAGCAAGAACCTGCTTTGTCTGCACCTTTCCCAACTGGGTTCGAGGAGGAGGACCAATCAACTGCAAAGCCTTTGGCACGTCCAGAGGAGGGCCACCCACGGAAGCGAGGCCTTCTGATAAGTCCGGCAGCCTGTTGACATTGCCACCGGATGGAGCGACGGCAGCGCCTGCAGATACAGGGGCCACGTCTGTCTTCTTCTCCAAAGCATCCTGTCGAACAGACAGGCTTTGCAGCTGAGCCATCATCACGTTCATCTGGTCCAAAAGAGCGGCATTCGAAACCCTCTTCGCTGCAGTAGCCTTCTTGGGAGGAGCTCCAGACTTCTTGGCTGCCACACCCGGGTCTTCTTGAGCCGAGTAAAAACCAGAAGCCTCATCCGTTCTCTCACGCAGCCACTGCTTCACCTTCCCCAGGAGCGCCTCCAAGTCAGGAATACATGCTGAGTGCTCTGAGTGGAAGGGGCAAATGTCGTGATCACTGTCCGTAACAGGGTCATAGGCTCTGCTTTAGAACAAGATCTCATCCGTCACATCAATGGCCATCACCGGGCCACTCATACCCAAGCTGACAGGAGCCCCTGTCTCATCCTCTTCAATCATAGGCACGTTCAAAATGGTGCCAATGCCAAGCCAACTAGGAGTCATGTCAGGCGACTCACTCTCACTGATCAAGCTCTCATCCAAAGCACCGTGGGGGACCGTAATGAGGAAGCCTCCATCGCGCGGGATGAGAGGAATGGCAAAAAGCTCAATCACTGATTCCACAACAGGCGGAGTAAGAGTGATGACAATCAGTGAATAGTCATCCCTCACCGCCGCAAACCTCACCTCTGAGCGCTGCATTGATACAATGGAGGAGTATCAATGCCGTACGAGGCGCAGAAGATCTGTACCTCAGTCAACGATGCAAAGCCTTGGTAGCACGGCTCCTCAGCACCTGGAGGGATAGAGGCAAGTAGCTGGCGAAGGTCTCCAAGCTTTCTGACTCTAATCGGCCCCGTAGAGCGAGGATGATTTGCAATGATCCACTGAGTATCTGACAAAGAGATGGCCTCTGCACGGGTGTAGGGCGAATGAGTGCTAACTGCTGCCCAAGCCCAAAAACCTGCACGCCAAGCTCGAACAACCCTATCTTGTGGATCTCCTGCGGCTGACGAGAGCTTTCCTGCAGCAAGGGTCAACAAATCACTTGGAACAGGCTGTGGGCCGTCCTCAAACACACGACGGAACTGAAGTGTGACCTTGAAGGGCTGCTCAGAGATGGGTTCAACCAACTCCCAACCAGCAATGGAGACTGTAGGAGATGTAGGAGTCGAAGAGGTCGATGTTGCCGATCCCTCAAGAGCTGTACTTAGCCTGTTCAGAGCACCAATGAGCAAGTCAATGTCACTCTTGGTGATCGGGAGGCTCATCCACTATTCTGAATACGCTGCCAGTCGTGCCCTTCTCTCAAGACCTGCCGGCCTATCAGGAGGGGAAGGGGATCGGAACCCCTGAGATGCCTGGTGCCAAAAGGGGCGGAACTGCAAGGAAAACCAAATCCAAGGGCTATCCAGGGGAGGCAGCTAGGAGAACAGTGAAAGGGACAGGTAGCAAGCGAGGAAAGATCGGACAGGACCGACGCGAACTCCAATACGCGCTGGAAGCTAAAGCCCTGCATTCACTTGAGCGGAGAGCGACCATCGAACAGCTTTAGTCTCTCATGTAGCTCCACGTTCGCGCACTGCGCGAATCTGGTCGAGATCCGTCTCCCACGAGAGCTTAGACGCATTGGCAAAGAGGCTTTTATGCTCTGTTCCACGCTACAAGAAGTACGCACCCCGCCAGCCTTGCTATACATTGCTCACCGAGCTTTTCTCGAATGCAAACAACTCACTCAGCTCATCAAGCTGGAAGAAAAGTCAACATGGCGAGGGCCATATGTTGAATGCAACACCTTTGATCTGTGCGAAAAATGTTGCATGCCTACATGGCTCAATCTCCTGATACCAGATGGAGAAGAAAGTCAAGCCTCACTCACACCCATCTTCAATGATGAACTGCGCAAAAACCTGCATTAACGGATGCCGGATGCCAGCTAATCAACCACAGGCTGGCACCTTAGTGCTGGTCCTGTTGGACAAGCCCTTTTGATGCTTTCGACGCGTAGTGTACAGAAAGGACACACTAGGTAGACAGCTCCCAAGCCGGCACCTTAGTGTCGGTCCTGGATGGGTACATAGTGTACAATCTTCTAGGTAGCGACGTTTCACCTTGTTTCACATAGTAGAGGGGCCATGCATGACGCCATACCCACTCGGTCGCACCAGGCGTGAGATTGTCGCCCTGTGCTTGCCTTTCTGTGTCTCCCCCTGGCAATGCTGTTCGGGAGCCACCGTTGCTAGCCTTGTGCGTCCATTGCCCTCCGTCGGCTGGGGGGGGTGGCTATAGGCTGTAGGGAAACGCCCTCCAGAGTGAGCCCTTGCAACGCAGGCCGCACTGTTGACTTTTGGCGTCCGAAGGCGTGAAACCTTTGGCCTACAAGTTCCTCAGCATAGAGCTGGGTGATCTCTTCAAAGGTCTCCACCAAAGGGTCCCTGCCAAACTTCTGCTTGCCAAAGAGGAGCAGACACATTCTCACTGAAAGTTTCCCAAAGGCCATAGCCTTCTTTTGTGGGCCAACATCTGTGTCATCCTGCTTCCAGGCCTCCTTCAGAATTGCCTCCATCTGGACAGTTTGCTTGTGTAGGGATCTGGTCATCTTGTCGAAGTCCGATTTGACAATGAGCTTGGATACCCCATCTGACACCTTGGTGGATGTCAACATGGTTGTGAGCAAGGCCAACCTGGTGAACAACATTTGATCACCTTGCACCCTGAAGTCATGGTAGGCGAGCAGGGCCATGTTGTCCTCTCGAATCAAAATGGTGGGACCAAATGACAAACCTGGGCACATTGCAACAGGTTGGATGCTGGATATGCGGGGTGAGAGAAAATATGGTTTGAAGCCTGGGCTGCCTAATGTACAAGCAAGTTGCAAACAATCACAGTACCAACCTGCTTGGCTATAAAAAATACAGATGCAACCTGCAACAGAAGTCCTTGAGTTGCTTGAGCAATGGGACGCATGATTTCACACGTGTCTCCCACTTGTCTCCCAGCAAGCTCTGGATGCTCTCAGTGCTCTGGCCGCATGATTTCATACTTGTGTCCCATTTGTCTCCCACTTGTCTCCGAGTAAGCTCTGGATGCTCTGAGTGCTCTGTCCGCATGATTTCACACTTGTCTCCCACTTGTCTCCCAGCAAGCTCTGGGTGCTCTGAGAGCTCTGGCCGCATGATTTTATACTTGTGTCCCATTTGTTTCCCACTTGTCTCCCAGTAAGCTTGATTTTTATACTTGTCTCCCGTTTTTTCACTTGTCTTTGAGTAAGCTCTGGATGCTCTCAGTGCTCTGGCCGCATGATTTTATACTTGTCTCCCATTTGTCTCCCACTTGTCTCCCACTTGTCTCCCAGTAAGCTCTGGATGCTCTCAGTGCTCTGGCCGCATGATTTCACCCTTGTTTGTCTCCCACTCGTCTCCCAGTAAGCTCTGGATGCTCTCAGTGCTCTGGCCGCATGATTTTATACTTGTCTCCCATTTGTCTCCCACTTGTCTCCCAGTTGTCTCCCAGCAAGCTCTGGATGCTCTCAGTGCTCTGGCCGCATGATTTCACGCTTGTCTCCCATTTGTCTCCCACTTGTCTCCCAGTAAGCTCTGGGTGCTCTCAGTGCTCTGGCCGCATGATTTCATACTTGTCTTCCATTTGTCTCCCATTTGTCTCCCAGTAAGCTCTGGATGCTCTGAGTGCTCTGGCCGCATGATTTCACACTTGTCTCCCACATGTCTCGACTTGGCTCCCAGTAAGCCAAGCCAAAGAAGGCAACTGCGTAGGAAGGAAAAAGCCAAGCGCAGTGTCCGTGCTCTGAGGAAATCTTAATTTTGATTGGGTCTGCGCATTCGTGTTTACAAGGGGGGCAACATATGTCACAACCAGGATCCATAAATTTCATGTTTTAGCCCTTGTGCGGCGTCCCATTGTAAAGTCAATGAAAAACAAAATTTTAATGCTTTCCCTTTGAATCTTGTATGTGCGTCTACATGGTGGACTACAGTTTTCTTCCTCTAGGAAATACTGCTGGCCATATTGTTCGGAGATCTCATTTTTGAACATTGCTCTTTTTGGGGTCTACGCTGGTATAATTCAGTTTTGTCGCTTACCTGACGCCTTAGGCACTTGGTTACCCAGGTCGCCATGTGACGAGTGGCATTCGAGTCAGTACGCGTTTCTATAAGTGTGTCTTATGTGCTCTGCCCACCACTGAGCAGGTACTTGGTGTCCACCAGCCTACAGCGGCTAGCGGTTGGAAGGCTTGGCCGAAAGTTGGACTGGGTCAGGCACATTTGGGGTTCAACTACTTGAAAGTTGGGGCCAGCTCACTGACAACCCTATTACATGTGAGCCTTTTTGGTTTGTAGGCTTTTTGTAGCGCGCTGCCTTGAGGGATGGCAGCGGACCCAATCTCGGCAGTAGTGGCTGAGTGGAAGGGTAATGAACGCAAGCAAGCAGGTGGTGGCATTTTGTGTGTGGCTGGCAAGAAAAACGAGATTATTGGTTCCCGGTTCCAGGTACTATAAGCCATAAAATATTAGAAAATATATAAAATACAAAAAATAAGACTGGGGAACACAAATTCACCAGTTGTATGTTGAAGCATATACTTTGACATTTGTATTTTTCAAAAATACATCCCTTCAGAATTGAAAAGCTGCAAGCAATATTCGCGTACATTTGCCACTTGATACGCATTGATATGGGTGGGATGGGAAGCTGGCCCCCTTGTCTTTTGGAGCAGCCTCTCGTGGTTGTCGGGTAGCCTGACCACGTTTCATTCGCAGCTCGAGGCTGAACATTTGTACTTTAAAGACACGGAAAATACGACCCTTCTTTGGTATTTTCCAAACATACAAAAAAACGACAATAATACGAAAACTTTGCATTTTAAAACATACAAGAAGTACGACTTTTAAGTACGAAAAAAGACTACAAAATACATCAAAAAAACAAAAATACAAAAAAATCGACTATTGATCTCTGCAACTTTCTGGGCATGTTTGTGCATTCTTCTCTGCAACCTCCTGGCGTATCCCTTGTGGAACTAACAAATAGTAGTCTAGAATCTTCCAAAGCACACGCCGAAAAAGGGCCTGCCGCAGCCGCAGCCGCAGCTGGTTGGAACACTGGCCCAGGCGCTGCCAGCCAGTGTTCCATGTCGACCTGCCGTGGAAACCTAACCCCCGTGGACTGGAGACCACTTGGACTCTGGAGACCATGGTGAGTTTCCACCCATGCTAACCAACACTCCAGCCAATTGCAACTGACACTTTGAATTGCCAGTTCTTCTTGGTTTAAGTGCTGAATACAGTGACTCATTCTTGTAGAACGACCAGCCTTGCGTGATTGGAGGCGGTAGGGGTCCGGCTTTCCGCGACGCCTCGGCTTTTGATTAGTCCGTGCTGTGGTATTCTTCCCAAGACGAATGTCCAAAGAAACTCAAAAGTCCAACAGATCTCTTCGGATTTGTCTCTATTTGACCTCTTTTGACTACCCAAACACACTTTTTTGAAAGGACTCGAGAAAGCGACAAAGATCGGATCGGATCCAGGTCGACTGGCATATGAAGCAAATGTGAATCATATATGACTTGGCATATTACAGTACTGGGGAGGCCCACTTTGGCGACCCTGGAATCCACTGCATTTTTGGCGCTTGGTTTTGGGGCCGTCAATGGACAAGATTTTCGCACGCGTCGTGATCCGCTTGGCCGCTCACATTGTTCCTGATCAGTCAGCTGGTCTCTGGAAGCCGGGTGTCCGCAGTTTTTTTCCCACGAGTGCGGACGCCATGTGGGCGGTGTGCCCAGGTCATCGTAGAAGGGTAGGAAACACTACATAATGATTGGAAAAGGACACAAACAAGACCACAACCGAAACCCCAAAAAGCAACCCCAAAAGACAACCCAGAACCCAAAACGGAACCACCGCCAGCAACCCATCAAAAAAGGTAGTGTTTCCTCTGTACGGAGGTGAGACGGGTGAAAATAGATTCTGCAAAATTCCTAGGGGCCTGAATTCGCTACGAAAGGCAAAATGCATTTGATCATGGATGTTTGCTTGGGAGGGCCAATCAAATGTGGCTGTTGGCAAGGGGGAAATCGCCCTAGCCACTTTGGTGCGTGGCACTCGGAGTTTTCGACTATCTACGTAGTGCCAAGAAAAGGTCATCAGCACACAGACTCCGGCCAAGGAGTCAGAAGTTGCAAGGCATGGCAAGCCGTGGAAAATTCCCTCTTCGTAACACAACCTATACAACCGATTGCGCATCCGAAGTGCAGAGGCTAATCGTGAGTGTGGCAGTAGGAGGCATCGCAACGACAAGACTGCCTGGCTCCTTCTCGCGTGCCAAGGGGGTATTGGTCATCAGATAACGTGCATGAAAGACACTCTCTTACTACATGCATGGCCCATGTGAAACAGTTGAGACAGAAGACCTACCCTAGCATGGTACTTATGCCATCTTTGCACAAGATTGGCTATGGTTTGGCTGCCGCAGATGAGCAACTAAGGTTCTCCCTGGGCGCCTTCCATCAACCACTCTGCTACCACCCGCCAACCAGGGACGAGGAGCTAAGGCTCTCATCCTGGTGGGCTCACAAAATTGCAGGTGATGAGGACGCAGTAATGACTCTGTTTGGTCATCGAAAAGCAGGAGAAGAACTCGTAGCGCAGACCCAGTGTGGCTAAGCAAGAGTTATCCCTAGCGCACTGCTTCTGTGAGGTCTTCTCTCCACTTGTCTTGTCAAAAGCATTGACACGGGCGTACGTCCCCCTCCAAGTCGTGCTTTTCCCAGTTTTGCAGAATGTGCTAAAGCTGCGCGCAACCAGCAAAGGCACGCCTCGCTATGTATAGCAGGGATGGTGGAACGCAGACCTCGCGGAGTGAGGCACACCGTAGGAATGCTTCTTGCTCTATTCTTCGCAAGTTTCGAGAGAGTCTGAGCTGTTGTAATTGCGGGCAGTGCGCAAAGGTAGAGCCCAGTATCTCAGGAATGTCCGTCTGGGACAGGTCAACGATCTGAAGCTGTTGACAACGTTCACAGGCTGCTGGCCCAACCCAATTAAAATCTGGCGGCAGCGAGAGATCGAGACGATGCCTGCTTCCAAGAAACAGCATTCAGGCAAGCATCGGTTTGGGTTAGTGGGGTCATTCTCTGTCCTTTCCAGGTTGAGGTGGCGCAAGGCTGTACATTTCTCAAAGGCCCGAAGCCGGAGTTGCGCTTGCGGGGCTAACTGGCAACTAGTGTGATTAGTTGCCCCCATTTGCGTTAGAGAGCAACATGCCTCAAAGACCTTGATGCCGAATTGCCTGCACCCAGGGGCCACTACAGCAGGAAGCTGGTAGCATCTACGAAACGCTCCATGCTGCAGGCAGACGACTGTGTCTGGCAAGTGAACCACCTGCAGTCGCTGACAGCTTCTCCAAGCAGCTTCACCCACAATGCGGATTCCTGCTTCAACCTGAACATGTCGGACTTCCATGTGGAAAGAAAAGGCTTGAGGCAGTATCCTATCAGTAGTACCGGATGGAACTCGAATGGCTTTGGCTTCGCCCGTGAGGTGTCCTTTGTGTAATGCATCCACAAAACACTGTTTGGCAACCACGTTGAAGCAATGATTGTCCCGCAGAGTGTTCCAAATGGGGTCAGCCAAAACTTGGCAGGTGTCCTTATTAACGAATTGCAGCTCGCAGCCAAAGGTGCTGCTGTCCCCCAGACAGGGGAGCTGCTGCAGCACTGCATTTTCAAACTCATGAAATCTGTCATATTCTTGCAAGTCGATTGCAAGCTGGATTTCC